TAGGTAAAAAAAGATGATCGGAGTGATAGTGATGAAACTGATGATGAATCAACTAATAAGAATGTTAATATTGATAAAAACAAGTGATCTAGTTTTTTTTTCCATAATAAATATTATTTGTATATATTTTAATTAAATACCAAAAAATATAATTATTTTTACTTTTCTATCGATTTTATTTTTTCTTAGACAGATTTTTACAAAATAATATATGTATATTTTATCTAATTCTTTTCATCTATTTCGTTTCTTTCTTTCTTTTTTTACAATGTAATTTTTTATTTCTTACATCTTTAATAAAAATAGCTATGCGTTTTGTACATATATTTCCTCCTTTTCTAATTGATTTGTTATTAATATTTGCTTTATTTTTTTGTTAAATATTGAATAAGCAAACAAATTTTTTGATAAAATATTTGACAAAGTTTTATTTTAATGAAGCTCAAAATTTTTTATGAAACATACACTAAAAGAAATATTGAAGTATGGGCATAAAACCTTGAGCTGCCTACAAATTGTGGCACTATGAGCATTCAGATGAACATTCGATCAAATATTGAAATGATACTTTTTAATGGTTTGAATGGAGTAATTATTTAATAATATAGAGATCCCCGTTGCCTTTGTTAGCTATTAGTAAGGATTAGGAGCCTCTTTTTACTATGAATAAAAATAACAATAAGAAAATATTCCGAGAAAATTATTTTTAATCTGAAACTGAGTCTTTCACTCAATCGATTCGTAAAAAAAGTCCTTCTTTTTCAACATCAACTACTTTCTACGGAAACATGTGTTCAATGCAGGAATGTGCTTTAGATGAAACTCATTTCTCTTGACATAGAAACGCTTTTATTGAAAACTGATTTTATATTTGGTATTAGCACTGAAAATTGCATCGAATGATGTATTAATCTTCTTATAAGAATTTTTCGGATTTGACTTTTTTAGACCATATTGACATTTTGAGAAATAATAATCTTATATTGAGCAGAAAATGAGATTTTTCTAACTTTAAAAGAGTCAATGTCTATTTGGTCTATGAAGAAATGCTCATTTATGCATCACTGGCAACTTAGTAATACTCTTCCCTGCAGACTTATAACTGGCAAGGCTAAATGATTAGTTTAGATTTTTTCGAGTTTTTACATGTTTTTTTTTTCAAAAAATTGATCATAGAAGTGTTATGTTCGCTAATTAAACAATTTTTATTGTTGTCAATGACTATTTCTATGAAGTGAATATTTATCAAATTACTTCGATTCAATATCATGTTATCTTACTGAAACAAAATAGAATCATCGTTCGTCATTATAATTTATTATATATTTAGTTTGTTTTTGTACTAATTATAATTACCATATCTTTTTTCAGAGGTATAAGAGAAATTTTCAATGCTATTTCTACAGGATTGGCATATTAAATACGACAGAGCTATTTTAACTATTGTGAAGAATCTCATTATCTATATGTCAAATTATAATGGAACTAAAAAACAGCACGTCGAAAAATCTGCCAGATTGTTACAGACATATCAACACCTATGTCATAATCTATTAGTAGGTTGAAAAAACGTTAGCATGTTTATTGCAGTCTTTGAGACAAACTGACAGAGACAAATGAGTTCAACATTAATTAACAATCATATTTTACAGAAATACTATAAACGTAAAATCAGAACACTATATTATGTTTGTAGTGATTCTGATGTAAGAGATATGACTAATCGAGAGGTTATTTAGACTGATATAGAAGGAGATCTGATGTATTATGAATATTTTTGTGTTTGATGACTTTCATTGTCAATTATTTCAGTTGAAAAAAAAATATGATGATGATTAATTCTTGAAATGTATATGAAAAAGTTGAATAATATATTGATTTATTATGTGTTAAATAGAATAATCATAGTGCCTGTTTGATCATTTTTACTTTCATTCAGAAAACATCAAAATCAACTACTTTTATCATAAATAATGTGTAAAGATGTTTAAAAGGCAACTTTTGCATGTTGTATAAAAATCTTTTTCCTGCAATACGTTGCCGTGCTTCGCAGATCAAAAATTACTTTCTTGTTTAATGCGTAGTATATATCAGAAACATTATGAGGAAATATTTTATTCTTTTGCCAGATGAAAAGAAAGATGCTTTTTTAAAGCATCTTCACGCATCGTTTATAATGAAAGTAGCTGACTTTGGTGTTATACTCATAGACGTAAAAATCATCAAACTGGAATTGTAATTAGAGCATTTACAAGTATTTTCAGGAATTCTTGTCTGTTTGGGTAAGCTTTGATAATATGTTAATTACATTGTTCAAATTTCTTCTAAAAGTTTCTATTATGAAATCTAAATTTTTAGCGAGAAATTCACTTAAGATCGATCTCGAAATAGATGTTATTTAAATAATTTTTTAATTGAAAACAAAATTTTCTCTATTCTTAAGATAAAATTTAATTTTTAGCTTGACCTTCTTTTGCATTACAGACACTGCTCAATAAGCTGTATAAGTGTTTAAATCACTCGTTAAACAAAGTGTATGTTCAGAGAAAAATTATTATTCGCATTAATAATAGGCATATCTTTCCCTTATTGATTGCACTTGTAAATATATTTAATTTTAGATTTTTTTTTTTTCTGAAAGAGTTCTTCCATTATTTACTTGCTTAGTTCTAGGGCTGAAAGATCTCGATATTAGAACCATGTAATTTAGTATAAGATAAAAACTTTTTCTCTACGAAAAATTAATGACCAAACAATTCGTCATAATGATCGAAGTCAATAATAATTTATATTCATTTTTTCATTGATGAAATAACTTATTAAGTTAAATATAGTGCAAAGATTTTCTTGGTTTCATAAAAAGTTCAGTTATATACAAGCAAAAACAGCATTACCTCTTTGTTTTAATTTGTGCCGTAGCTTCAATCTTCTGATACATTGAGCAAATATTTTGAAAAGACGAATGAAATTATTCTATAGTTCAAGATAACCATAGAAACATGATCATGTGATATTTTATTTTTTAAAATTGAGTTTCAGAGAATTTATTTCTTAAACTTTCTAATGAAATAATGAATCAATTGACCATAAAAGTTTAGTAGAAATTATCAAACTTTTAAATTAATGTGTTTACGTTTTTGTGGATTCGGATCCGAGTTTTATTCGATTAATATCTGGCACTCTTTGTGAACATGAACAAGTGAAGGACCTACAGGTTTTACCAATTTGTTAGCTACTCTCCAAAGAAAGTCAACATTCAACTATTTCTTGTTGTTCACTTTCCCATTACTCAATATTTAATAAATTAAAAGTTTTCACTCAGTTAATAGAAAAACGAATATTTCGTCCTTGACAATCATCGAACCAATAGTAACACGAAAATCTTCAGTTGTATAGAATAGTTTTAGTTGTATTTATGTAACCGTTGTTGATAGCACGCTCATGAACAAAACCACATAATGAGAAGTATCCTTAAAATAAAACTCGGCATTTTTTTTTCTTTAAAAGAACAATACAAAATATCGTTATTAAATGTTGTTTTTCAATAAACAACTTTTGAAAAGTACAGCATTTATAATATTTGTCATTTATTCCTAAGTGTAATGATATTAGAAAAAACGAAAAACATTGGCACAATACATTAATCATTTTTATATCAACTCGTTTTAAAAAGACATCTTATTAATCATAATTAACTATTGTTTTACAAATTCTATATAATGAATCAATGTTTCTCTTTTTCTTCATTGTATTTCATTGATGAATAAGTAACAAATGTAAATTATGCATCATTTGATTCAGAAGAACATTTTTTTCAGAACACGTTTATCGAAGAGATATAGAAATCAACATTTTTCTACTGTTGATTTGAATTACAGAAAAAGTGCCAATTTACTTTTAAGGACACTTGCTCTATTCTATGGCATTGTTTCATTTATTAACGTGATTGTAAAAAGGAAAACTAATTATATAAAAACCAAATGATTAAAACAAAAATAATAAAATCTATTTATTGCATAAATGCTTAAAAATACACATGATTGATGTATAGGTCGTTGGTTATGTAAAACTGTCATATTACTTAAATGTCTTTTAAAGCCACTCATGTCTATAAAACATTCTATTAATCATGTAAATTAATATAACATGCAAGACTTTCTGTCATACACCTACACAATTAATTTAAGAGTTGTTAAAATGATCGAAGAAAAAAAAAAGACATTGCTCAACAGAAAAAAAGCTATTTATTATTTATAGATCATTTGATTGATAGTCTTCTTTTTTTTAATTCTGCATTAGGTATGTTAACCTTTATCATTTAAATATTGACTGGTACTTTTTAGAAGAAAATATAAGGTTTACTACTGAGAAGATTCATATAAATATAAATCGATTTCAGATAATAAAGAATAGTATGAGCGAATTCCTCGAGATCAACGGTTTGATTGACACGTACACTAGAAAAAAAAACAGGTTCTTCTATTTATTTAAATTTTCTACATATGTACCAGAGCTCCGTGTGGGATGGGACATTCACACTCAACCCCATTCCAGGAAAAACACAACTTTTATATATAGCTATTATTTTGCTAACAACAATACAAACGTTTTAACATAGATATTATACTCGTCTATTCAAGCAAAACAGGTGAGAGGTAAAGCTTTGAAAATGAAATAATATAATATTTCATACTATCAATCGACCGATAAGTGTTTGCATGAACTTACTTTTTTTAAAAGACATTTAACGAATGAGATGTCTCATGGGACGACATTTTTCGTCTCCTTTCATCTCACGCAGACTTCTAGTATGTACATTAGCAACAATTGAGAAAAGCAAAGTACGAGCTATTTATGACTAGTTTTTTCTTCAATAAGCTTCCAAGTTGTACACAGTGTACAATATAAATAAAAGCAAATATTTCGTATTTTTGATTTTTGAAATTTTAGACATGACAAAAACTTTACGATTATCGTTACTATTTATATACATTTTATCTATGTATCAAATATGTCAGTCATTAACAGTCAGTCTAGTTCATCCTGAAGATGTATCAACACTCAATGATCAATTTAGTCTAGTTAATGAATATTTTCAACAAGTAATTATGAAATAATACTTATATTTAAATAATTGTTTCTTTTTGTTGTTTTATTTTAGTTAAATGAACAAAATAAACCTCCACATGAATTAATTCAATTAGATAATGATAATATGATACCTCGTTTCAGTTGGTATAAACGAGATTTACCTACGCCAAGTAAAGTTCATAAACCTTTGCTTTGTTTCTTTAATACTGTTACTTGTTTTGGTAAAAAATATAAATAAAATATTCTTTACTATTGCATATATGTTCATTGTTCGGTACCAAAGGTCCATGGGCATGAATTCTTTTAGTCATTTTACTAGTCTCATCGATATCGCTGTGTGGGCTCACTATGAACTCAACTGTCAAGTGACAGTTGGAGCAGTTCATTCTTTGATGTAGTAGACATTATCTGACATACAATTTTGCAACCAGCTAGTATCGGAATTTTAAAAGAAGGCAGATGGAAAAAAAAACTTATAACTTTCGAACAAAACATCATAGCGATGTGCAATTGTCAGCAATCGATAGAAGATTGTAGGGGACAGATGTTGATATAAAAACCAAAGTTTAAATAACCAAGCATAGTAGGAGTGATTGTGAAATCACTGAAAGAATGGACTCGTTATTCAGTGAAATCTCAGCAGAACAAGCTAAAACTCTCAGCATATGTAACCTCACTGTAGCCCAATATCATCGATAAATCTTGTTATGGCGAGATTTGGTGTGCCAACCATCATCTGATATTACATAAGGCTCTCATTCATTCTATATATGAGAAAATGACCTCAAATTTTGACTGAATCAATACCATAATGTAGTCTTCATATCTGTGCAATTTTATCATGGTTTGATTATCTGAACGAGAAGAGACGGTGAAAATATTACTAAGTTCTGTATTTCTCTTGAGAAATTTAGAAAGATTTGTTTTAAAATACTTACTGTATGAAAATGATTTCTTTGTCGAATTGTGACTGTTTTCGTACATTTCTACGACTCTGATGTATGGTATTTTTTTTTCAGTCAAATTTTGAGGTCATTTTCTCACACATAGAGTGAATGAGAGCCTAATGTAATATCAGATGACGATTGACACACCATTCCTCATCATTACAAGATTTATCGATGATATTAAACTAGAGTGGAGCTATATATGTTGAGAGTTTTAGCTTGTTCTGCTGAGATTTCAACAAATAACGAGGCTATTCTTTCAGTGATTTCATAATCACTTCTATTATGCTTAGCTTTTTAAACCTTGGTTTTTATATAAACATATGTCCTCTATAATCTTCTATCGATTGCTGACAATCGCACATCGCTGTGACGTTTTGTTCGAAAGTTATAAGGTTTTTTTTTCCATCTGTCTTCTTTTGAAATTCCGATACTAGTACTTTTACGTTATTATTAGTCTACATGTATTTTTTCTATCAGTATATCATAAAGTCTTTTCTTAATTTGACAATAGATAAGCCTTCTAAGATTTGTTAGTTTTCATGTAGATTCATTCGATAATATAGTGTTAAATTATTTGCATACATAATATATTCCAGAAAAAACTGCAAATGTCATATATAATTTATTAGAGGGCAGCTTTAGAAAACATGAAAATGACTATGTCCGAAAGGAAATAATGTAAAAATTTAGATTTTCTTCGATTTGATGTACGATAGTTTCCTTTAACTCATCGAATTCATACAAATTATATTGAGAGATCCATGAGAAATGAAACTTATCTGGTTTTAATATTATGCCTTTCAAGCTACTTTGACTTTCATATTTTTTGCTCTTGCTCTGAACTGCTTGATCTTCCCAAACACCATAACTAACCGCATACTAAGTTCAACAGCAGATGCATGCTAGAACGTAGCCACTTAACCAAGGTGATTGAACTAAAATATTTGTATATTTGCCCGTTCCTACAATAGTTTTAAACTGAAAATGACTCTTTTGTACTGAACTTTTCAAGAATGGCTGGTACTGGTGAGAAACGCTTCTGGTCCAAATTGCTGTCCGATACGTCGAACTAGACTGAGCTTCGAGCTTATTTATAGTTCAATAGTAGTTTTTAGAAGAATTCTTATAACTTCATCGTTACTAGGGTCATAGAGCTCCAGTTAGTTTCAAATAAAGCGAATATCTGTGTGCAGTTTTTTCTGTCAACATAATTTTGAAATTCACTTCCATTGGTTTTTTTATGATCATTAGAATACATGTGGTGTTAAAATAAACAAGAAAGATGTGACTTCATTCAACTAAATATTGCTTTTCTCAACACCGAAATCAAATATGAAAATATCTAGTCAGACAAAAGTTTACTCTCATTTACATCTTTAAAACAAAAACAACAATATTGGTTATATTTTGAATCGGATGAAAGGAATTCCGATCTTTCTGATTGAAGATTATGTTCTAAGAAAAATGATAAATAATGCTAGAAATAGATTTTTTCATTGCAGTCAATAGAAGCATATTATATGAGCCCATTTATAATATATTAAAATGTGTTTTTTAAAAGCACGTAACCAATGACGTGAGAGTAAGCATCATTTGACATACATAAATACTCTGACTCTTTTCTTTTTTTTTTGGATGGCGCACATATTTGACATCATTGTATTTTCTGATAACACGAGTTTACATCAAACTTTGAATAAATCAAGAAATGAGAGAGCCTTCTCTCAAAAAATAAAACAATATTGTTTTTTGACTATTCTATCTTGATAAAACTTTCAACAAAGAGCTATCTCGAGTTAGACAACCTCATAGTAAAAAATCAGCTCGATTCATATAGTCTATGTCGAGCTATCTTAAGCTTACGGATCAAACTAGTAGACATCTATGAGTCCAACATTTCTTTAGCATACTCATTTTCATTACTCAAGTACTTTTTCAAATATTAAAGTTGAAAGTTGAAGTTTTCTGATGTTGCTCAGAGCACATCGATTTTTTCCGATAATGTGAAAGATATTGTTGCTAAATCGCAGTTCTCTCACCATTATTGACAACTATTTCTAATGAAAAACACTATTCGATCGTTTATTCTACTAGAACAGCAGTGAGATTACAATGAGCCCACACACACACTCTGTATGTATCTATCTTTTTTCTGACAATTACAAGAATTTGAATAGCTCAAAGCTTGCTTTTATAATCATTATGATATCTACATTGAATTAATTTTTTCACTTAGTCCTGAGATAGGGGAAGGGACTGAATTTTTCGACGAAATTGAAAGTTATCGTAACTTTTGGAAAAAACAGATTTGCTAGCAAATAAACTTTCACTACATGTTAATCTGTATTTTCTAAGTTATTAGACTCTCAAGATCAATTAGTGTTTGAAAATACAACGACTTGGACTAATAATTCTTCCTTGTCTGTTCGTTCTTAGCTCAACAAAAAAGTAATTTATATGATGTTCTGATATCAAAATGAGACACAAATCATATTCTACTGATCACACTATGAACGACATCCTTGGCTACTACCTCCATCTCTGGAATGATATTTATTCACCTAATATAAATAATGAAGAAATGTTGTTGTACTGATCAAGTTTGAAAGTGTCATGAGTGCGCGTCATTCCCGACTTTCCGGCAATATTTGTACACAATCAGATACTAGGGTTAGCTCTAAGACTTGTTTTAATCGTTGGAGTTACTAAATTCCGTGATTTTTGAGGATCCAGTGAATGATGATGGAGTACGATGTGGATGTGACTAATAAATGGAAGGCATCCACATCCTGCCCTTGCTAATGATATATTGAACAATAAAATTGAGTACATATTATGGGAACTCGATAGGGTGCGCGTTATTCTATTGAATTCTGTATCATAATGAATATTTTAACATAGAACAGATGCACAACAGTTTGCAAAAATAAGTGGCTGGATACTATTGGAAGAATGAAAAGCAGCATGCAGCTATCGTATTGCCAATAAATACTAAACAGATAAATGGATTGATCTAAACATTTTTTTAAATATGCTAAAGGCTATAGACATATTCTGACAAAAACAAGATGATTCCAAGAAGAAATTATCCACTAGTTGATTCATTTCGACAACTACTATATAATCCTAAAATATTTCACCATTCTTCAATTGGTGTGATAATATAAGAATTTTGATCAAAACCTGACCTACTAAATATTCAAGCGAGAGTTATTCCCCAGGTCGAATTCACCCTGTCGAATCCGATAGAAATTCGCCGGAATTTGTCGGAATCCTAACCACAGGATTCCGACAAGTGGTTCTGGATGTCGGAAAGTGTCGGAGTTTCAGGGATTTCGCAGGATCCTGATTATTCCGACATCCGGAACCTCCTGTCGGAATCCTGTGGCTAGGACGCCGACAACTTCCGACGAGTTCCCGTCGGATCCGTTAAAATCCGGTAATTTTTCCGATATAATCCGACGTAATCCAACAGTCGGATCGAATCACCTGGGTCATGACAAACAGTATTTTGTATTGTGAGGTCAGAGTTCACTTTTTAGAATAGTTGACAGATGATATGAATAGTTTTCTGAAGGTCAAAATGACGTTGAAATCAAGGAATGATTGATCAGATCTTTAATTCAGATCATATCTTTCACGATCACTATCGGAGTCAATTGTTATGATATAAACTAGTCATCATCTTTTGTCCTCATGCTTCAGATTACTGGGTATTTGAAATTCGTCAAATGTTATATGAAGATCATCATTAATAAGGCAATGGGTTTGTTTGATTTTTTCGAATTGAGTTAGAGCCTGACAACCGAAAATGAAGATAGTCTAGTACGGACTTCAATGCAGAGGTAAAGCTTTTCTTTATGCAACAAATGAGAATGGAGAAATATTTTAGAATTATAGAGCATCGTTTGAACTATCAGTATGTGTTAAAATTTTGTTGTATAGACGCGTTTTTATATTTTTTAACTGTTATTTTATTGAAAATTTTCTTATTACTTTTTTTTCCTATCGAGTTTCTTATATTGATTTTCTTCATTATTATTTTATTTTATTGTACAAATATTTTATTATTTTTTTGTTTTAATATATAAGCGTTTTTCTTATTAGTTATTTGTAAATGATAATAAATACATCTATAGAATAAAACAAAACATAACGATAAAATTTTTTTAGAATAAAATAAAATAATCATGAGAAACATCGGTGTAACAATAAAAACACATGTATAAGAAAAAAAATAATGAGAAAGTCGTCTATATAAAAAAAAATATAATAATAAAATGTCCATAAAACAATTATTGTAAAGGCATTTTTTAATGTGTTTTTATCAAATAAAACTTAAAACTTGCGTTTTCGTAACCAATTCTAATATCAAATTATAACAGCAAAGGAAAACAGTAGTGTCAAACCTGAAAGTTGAATTCAATTGTCGAATCTCTATTTCGACTATTTAACTAGTACACTACTCAACTATCGGTTTTACATGGATGTTTTTTCTGGAAGTCATCTCCTCTATAACTTCTTTCGCCCGCATCCATACCAGGTCGTGTAATGTGGGTGTATTTTTCTGTATGTTCCTTTTTTCCTCCCAGTCCCTTCTTCAAATAGCTGCATACTTGAGATTCAACCAGTCAATAAATGAATAGTTGAAGTAGGTTTTCAATAATTGAATTCAAGTTTTAGGTTTCACATATATGTGTAGATGTAGGTAGAGGCACCATATTATATTACAGTCCGTCAGGCGGCTTCGTAACCTAACCCAGAGAGATCTGTTGTGTCTGTTATGGCGAAAGCAGCGTAGTACTCGAGAAGGCCTTTATGCTCGTAAGTTCCTGTCGTCATTATTGTACGTCATACCTACGTTCATTACCTTATGAGTCCAGCGCGGTTCGCTCTCTATGTACCTATTTCGGGTTTACAGCGTATCTCTTTGCTCGCGCGCACGTACGCGATAATAATCCGAGAAAAGCCAAAAAGCGAGATGAATAGTAGTCAGAACCAATTTATTGGGTAAGTAACAGAAAAAAAACAAGCTCACAGCTTTTTTTTTATGGAGTTTATCTTATTTATCGTTGTTTCAATTGAAGGATGTGTTGGTGGAAGTGATTTTTGTTCGGTGGCAAGTGTCTTTTCTAAATACGTTAAGGCTCTCGAGTAGTCACCCATGCCAGAATATGCCATACCGATGTTCTTGTAGGCGATAGCCAGTGAAGGATAATTTGGAGGCAAAGCTTTTTCGTTTATTTTAAGTGCTTTATTGTAAAACTCAAGTGCTTTCGAATAGTCACCCATGTTGTTATACGTAACACCAATGTTGTTGTAGGAAGTAGCTAAATCGGGATGATTCGGGGGCAGAGACTTTTTCGTGATTTCTAGATCTTTGTTGTAGAACGTAAGTGCTTTCAAGTAGTCACCCATGCCAGAATACGCCATACCGATGTTGCTGTAGGAAGCAGCTAATGAGGGATGATTTGGACGTAGAGTTTTTTCTTTAATTTTAAGTGCTTTGTCGTAAAACTCAAGTGCTTTCGAATAGTCACCCATGTTTTTATACGTAACACCAATGTTGTTGTAGGAAATAGCCAATGAGGGATGATTCGGAGGTAGAGTTTTTTCTTTAATTTTAAGCGCTTTATCGTAAAAATGAAGTGCTTTCGAATACTCATCCATGCTGTCATGCGTAGCACTAATGTTGCTGTAGGATTTAGCCAAATCGGGATGATTTGGAGGCAAAGTTTTTTCGTATATTTTAAGTGCTTTATAGTAGAACTCAAGTGCTTTCGAGTAATCACCCATGTTTTCATATGTAACACCGATGTTGTTGTAAGAAGTAGCCGAATCGAGATGATTTGGAGGTACAGCTTTTTCGTGTATTTTAAGTGCTTTGTCATAAAACTCAAGTGCTTTCGAGTAGTCACCCATGTCGGCATACGTTAGACCGATATTAGTGTAGGTAGGAGCCAATGAAGGATGATCTTCTTGGAGAGTTTTTCGCTCGATTTCGAGTGTTTTTTCATCAAATGAAGCTGCTTCTTTGTATTTCCCTTGGTCACGTTTTAAGCATCCAAGCTGGTGATAAATATATGCTCTATCACTGTCGCTAGAATCGTTCTTGAGTAATCCGTTGTAAAGTTCTTCAGCTTGATTGAAGTCACCCATTTTGAGCATCAATTTACCCATTCGATACCATCCAGTTCCATCAATCTCTTCTCGTATCCGTTTGGTGAGAGCAGCCAGTTGTGGATCATTGACGTCTGTGAGAGTCAATTGTACTTCCCATAGATAACGATTGTTGGCCGTCTGTTGAATTTCGCCAACACGAAAGACAGTGTGCATTGAAAAGAGAATTTCTTGTTCCTCTGAAAAATTACTGCAATCATTGATAAGGGCGAATGGAGTACTTGAAGTCGAAATTTTACTAGGATTAATTGTCATTTTAAAGAGAACACCCACGATGTCTTTGTCTTTGTGCGATGTAGATGGAGCAAATGCCAGAGCTACGTGTTTATCTTTACTGGTAGACAAGAAATTATTGAATGATAGAAGTCCACCTTTTGTATCCAGTAGATGCTCGAAGTCTTGTTTGGAAAATCCTTGACCGCGATAAACGATAAATTGTTTTTTATTCGCACCCGATTGTTCCTGTTGTAACTGTTGCAGTTGTCGATGCAGGTTTCGGATAAAAAAACCCATTTTGATCATGGCTTCCGTATCAAGTGATCGCAAGGCACAGTTAAGCATTTTGTACAAGAAAATACCACAGGTATACAACCAGACTGGTGATTTCAGGTAGTATTGGTCCTGAAAATTTTTCAATTCAGATTCTGAGACATTTTGTTGTCGACAATAAGCTACTAGATCTTCTAACGGTTTTGCATCATCTTCATCGATTTCTAAGATGATTTCCTTGAATAACAAGGAGTACATATAAGATGGTTCCAATTGATCGAGATTTTGTTGATTCGATGCTGTTGTTGGTATCATTCGCTTCGGAACAAAGCTCATCGGGATTGTGTTATGATCACATCGGCGAGCAACTTGTTTTAACGATTCACATATTGGTTCTATTGAAGTGAATATACCTTCAATCTTTGACCAATTTTTGACCCATGCCTTGTGTCGAGATTCGTTGCTACAGAAGATATAAATAGTATGTAATTGTGACATATCATGAATTTGTGGCACCAGATGTTGACCTACGGTACCGGAAGAAATGATGAGAATTTTTTCGTCTTTCATGTCATTAAGACATTTGATACATTGTGTCGGTTCGGTACAGAGTGTGACTTCATTGACTACACTACGCAGTCGCGCGAGTGTATTTTGACAATCTGGATTTGTTTCATCAATACTACCATCGATCCAGATGAGCAAATAATTTTGAACCATACGTCGTCTTGGTTGAATAATATTTAATGTTGTTGTTGATTTGGAAGCTGTTTTCTTGGATTGTTCTTCATCCATATTGAATGTAATTTTTGTTGATCTATCGAGTATTGTGATCAATAATAGATTCTTTGTTCGAACAGAAATCACTTTTTTGTATTAATAGAATTGATACACGCTATTTACTCTCTTGATTATTCTACGACGTCAAATGCGAGTGTTTTTTTTAGTTGACGCTCAACGACGAATTCCGATTGATTTCACGTGAAAATATGGTTATCTACAACAAATGAAAGAGAAAAGCCCAACAATGTCATTTTTTTACGGTTAATCCTTCTAACTTCCGCTTGCTCTTTATTTTCATATTAATAATTGATTGTGCCATGGTGGCATTGACTAAAAATAAGAGAAAAATATAAGCGGATGCCTAGTCTGGCCGGAAGCCCCAATTCATTTTCTGTCGCATAGCTCTTTTATATTATGTCAGAAAAAATTAATTTCTTTATCAATTATAGTACTTGCAAAATGCAGATAATCTGTCATTGTTTAGCTTCTATATTGTTTTCCAAACCAAAATTATCCAACGTCTTTCAAAAAAACTGTTCGACTGTGTCGCAACATTTTGAAAAGATGCTCATTTACAGTTTTTTGAAACACGTTGGATAGTTTTGGTTTGGAAAACAATATAGAAGCTAAACAATGACAGATTATCTGCATTTTGCGAGTACTATAATTGATAAAGAAATTAGTTTTTTCTGACATACTATAGAAGATGTGCGACAGAAAATAAATTGGGGCTTTCAGCCAGACTGGGCATCTCCATAATTTCAGAGAAAAAAAAAAGAGTTATCAGGTTACGACGTCTATCACATCTGTTAAACATATGTCATAGACGTACACATAGAAGTATAAACAAGAAAAGAAATTAGAGATATTGGAACGCCAAAGCTGTAAGCATACGATGCATGAACATTAAGATCGAGTAAAATAAATAATAGACATACACTTCTTACAGTTGAAGCACTACAAATTCATGTTGGTGTAATGAAATATTTATATGTAAATACATTCAGTAATATAATTGCATTGTTAAAATACTCATGTTATTTACATAGGATATTCGCAAATTCTAACCAATCCATTCTGTTATTATGTATGAATGAGATAATACATGAGATTCAATTCAAAATCTAATAAATGAGAATAAATGTAGTAGTTTTTTATGATAAATCTTTTATTCATATGGAAATTTTCGATCTTATGCGATATTTAATGAAACATGTCTTATGTTATTAATAGAGGATGGTATTACTACATAATGTTATTACATTGTGTTGACCTTCAACTGATACATCGCTGTCTCCTTGTTTCAGCTCATAATCTATGCAGTTTGTCTAAGGAAGATTCATTAGAACTTTACGTTAAACCCAATATTCAAAGAAGATTAAAAACATATGCACACAATGATGCTTGGTCTTTCACTCTTCTATAATGACATTTTTATTTGGGATGACTTTCACAAAAGATAGAAGGATCACCTTGGCCAGTTTTTTCATACTAATCGAGTACAACAATTGAAAGAAAAGCATGAATCGCTTCTCCTAAAATGGATATCATTTATTGAATTAAACTAATGATGTGCAAAGAGTATCACATATAATTACTCTATATCTTTCTTCCTCTCATTCTTTCTCCTTTTTATTTATTTATTTTTGTTTCGTTGCTTTATTTTTTTTCTGGCCTTGAAAGCATACGTATATTCTGTTTCGCTGTCGTTTTTCTCTGCTCTTTTCCCTCTCGTTTTGCTTCATGTCTTTTTTGGTACCCTTTCTTTTTCATTATATTCTCCTCTTCTTTCTCCTTCTTCATTTTTTTTCTATCTTCATTTCGTGTCTCCTTGATTGCGGGCAATTTTTCTTAATTGGAGGAAAAATATGTCCGCAAAGTAGAATCAGGGGGTATAGACGAAAATGACCGCATTTTGAAAATTGTCCGCAAAGCAGAATCGAGGCAGAGAATGAAAATGTCCGCATTATAGAATCAAAAAAAAAGCAGAAATAGTAAGAAAATTAGTACAGACAAATCGATTCTATCGACGCTAATCAGTAATGATTCGATTAGAACAGGAACACGCACAACAACGAACAACTCGTCCAAAAAGGTTAACTTCAGTTAATAATGAAAATATTTTAGTACAAGCAACAAAAGATTATTTAAATGGTCTACTAGATTTAGATGATTATCAAAAAAGACTACGTTCTCTTTGTTACCGATACATTCACATATTTGATACATCTGACAAAGATGACGAAGATTATGAACCAAAGCATAGTTGAATGTTGAATCATCTCGTACTACTTGTATCTTTCTCTTTCCTCACATAATAAATTTTTTCTTGATTCTATAATGCGGACATTTTCATTCTGTGCCTCGATTCTGCTTTGCGGACAATTTTCAAAATGCGGTCATTTTTGTCTATACCCCCTGATTCTGCTTTGCGGACATTTTACCTTAATTGGTTAAAAAAAGTGTCCGCATTGTAGCTGTAGCCCTTCATTTTACGCTCTTAACCCCAATCCCAGCTGAGTAAATATTCGATACAAATATGATGCTAGTAATAATTAAAATCATCGTATTTATGTTGTTGCTGAGTGCTTAAGTATTTATTATTTCTCCCTATATTACCATGTAAGCATCTCCAAGTATTACATTTAAATGCACAATAAAAAGAAAGTATATTATTACATTAAATTATCTTGAAATACATTCGCATAGATTTATATGATAATATCAATCATGTTTAGAGATGTATCGAGACCGATAGTCTCGGTCAGTCTCGGTATCAGTATTAGTTTCAAAGAACCGTTTCTTGAAAAACCTAAGCATCTCGAAGAGTATATTTGTACAATTTTCATTGAGCAAAAATTAGTTCTTTTTTATTGTAATCACATTTTGAAACAGTATGTACTACTGTCACATATTCCTAATGACCTTCTTATTTGAATTTATTTTGTTCTATCTCAATCTAAACCTTGATCTATCTTGGTTTTAATATCAGTTTTGAAAGTTTGAATTGTAAAAACAATTATTATTCATATTCAATTGATAGAATATTATTTTCACTTAAACATCACTATGAAGAAGGAATATTCGCATCGAACGATGAGTTCCGACTCTTGATCACATATGTAAAATATTGATTATGCATCAATAATAGTATTACTTTTGATTTTAAGAGTGAGATTGACTATTTCCTTTCACCATACTTCTTTTTATTAATGAATATCATTCAATTACGAGTGAAAATCGAAAAATGATTACAGAGAAAGAAAATAGGTCGATTTGTTGACAGTTTTGTTATATACAAAAAAAAAAATTTAATAGATGAATACTTAAAAAGAATATAGTTATACACTTTCGGCAACGATAAACATAATCAAGAAACACGAAATGACAAGAAATTTTCTAAGAGGAAAGAAAAATAACAATTTATCACTAATTGTGTCTCACATTTCATAACTGTTCATTAACATCGAAATAGTGTAAGTTGGAAAGAAAATACGTTTATTCCTTGCTGTAGTGAATTTTTTTCTCACACCTACTTTTTCTTATGCATTCGAAAACAATTTCGAAAGTCAATTAAAAAGAAAAAGATAAAATAACCAAAGGATTAAAAAGCGAAGCTCAATATATTGACAACATTTTTGAATGAAAAAGTTGTAACATTCACAACTTGACAACAAGTCATTCAGCTTTCATCATCAAATTCTAAAAATACAACAGTCACGACAACAAATATGGACGCAGCACAAGTTCAAAATCAATCAAGTAACCAGACACAGCAAGAAGCCGATGCTTTACCTGTGAAATCAGAAATATTGAATTATGCCACCAAGTTACAGAACGTTAAAACTAAATGCAATAGCTGTAATCGTGAGATTACATCCAAAGATCATTCTACGTCTAGTCTATGTCGGCATTTACGCCGTTGTATGAATGTCTCAAAATATTCTATAAGTGGTAGTAATATTTCCAACTGAAAAACTTAAATTTTTATTAACGTTGAATCGAAAACATCTTATAGTAGCATGTAAATCACGCACATCTGAATCTGCATTTAGTGTAGCTTGGTATGTTGGACGAAAAAAAGATGTAGATTGACTCCTGAAAATCTTAGTACGTTACTTTTTCTAAAGGATAAAGCTATAGACAGCATTTAGTTTTAAAGATAAGACTTAGTATGAATTTCAGAAGTTCTTTGTATTTTTTTTTACTCTTCATAAGATGTATTGCTTTTTTCTATGTATATTCTCTGTTACAATTGGGAATTTTCTTATTTCTTATTGAAATGTTAAAAAAGTATGTATCATGGTAATCATGTATTATTACTTCTCACATACTATCTGTACTTTCTTATAATAGGTAATAAACTATGAAATAAAATATTTGCTTCTCTAGTGCAAATAACAATCTTGGAACTTCATACTACCTGCGCCTAAGTTGACAATGACTAAATATATTAGATTTGAGAAAACAGTTTGCGTATTAGGCTTGGTTGGCAAACGTGGGAAAATCATAAAAAAAATGAATTCTGATCACTAGTTCCATGCAAACGTGCACCTAGATCAAGAGATTGCTGTGAAAGATAAGTATTTTTCTTCATGAAGAGGTGCCAAAATTATACGAAAGTTGTATTGTGAACCATCGCGCTTACCTGCATATAACTGTGTCTAACTAGATAGATCAATAAAAGCAACAATGTCCAAATTTGATTCAGTCTCAGAGAGAAAACTGCAAAAGTAATAATTTCGTCTGTGAGTAAACTAAACTTGGACATTTTTTGCTCCAATCGACGTGTCTAGTCGTACACACAGTTAAATGAAGTTAAGCGAAATAGTTCACCATAGAATTTTCGTAGTCTCGGTGCCTCTTCCGAGAGAGAAATGTTTAGTTCTGACAGCTATTCCTTTATTACAGTATATGTATAGTTCTCTGTAAAAACAGGACTAATAAAAGTCCTCTGAGAGCAGCATCAACGGCCAGAGGTTAATACTAAATCCAAGACCACGCTTGTCTATGGTAAAAATCGAGATCAAGGGTGATTATAATTGAGGCCGAAATTCATCGATAGTAAGGCCGAAACTGGTCGAGAGGCTCGGTCTCTGTACATTCCTATTCATGGTGCCTATGCTTATGCTATTATTGTTTATGTTGTTATTACTTTTGATATTATTAAAACTATATAATTTTTCTCTCTATTTGTTTTGTATGTTTTTTTTGTCTTGGAACATTTCGCTTAAAAGTTTCGTGGTATTCGGTTGAAAATGATCGTATAATGATCGAAGATTCTTTTAGTATTATTATTACAGTAAAACACATATTTAACCGTCCTGTTATTCTATGCTCTAGGAGATAATCTCTAGAGAAAGTGTTTTCTTTAAATTTCATTGATTTATACCAAGTCTTATCAGGAGATGTAGCAATTAGATATGGTATCTAGGTGTTTTGACAGCACTAAAATTCTTCTACATTCTTCAAATGTACTGAAAACTTTTGCGAACAGATTAAAACATAGTCATGGAAGGAGTTTGGGTTTTAGTGTAACACAGGGTTACCAAACCTCCTGATTGGACCAGGAGAATCCTAGTTTTTCAGCCTTTCTCCTGGTAAAAAATCTCTTGGTACCAGACGCTGCTTTTAACGATTTTCTCCTGGTTTCTTATGTTTTGAGTTTTTTCTCCATGTTCCATTTTAGCGACAAATTTAATCAACAAGAAAAGCCAAAAGAAAAAAAAGATCGGCTGTAAGTAAAAATCAAGAATGCATACTTTGTTTTTCCCATGATTTCATCTCAAGATGATGGTGTTTGTGAAACTCCCAATTCAATCGAAAAAATTCATATCTTCAATTTACTTGAACCTGTCAATGATGTTGATTTAGTGTCGCCAATTAATAATTCAAAACCGCCAGCTGCTGCACCATTATTTGTTACAACAAAGAAATTCTACGCATCTTAATTCAAGAAAGAATGGCTATTCAATATTACTACTGTACTTTTCTAAGAGAATGTAACAGTACTGAAACCAATTTGCTCAGTAAATTTGACATTCTTAATCATTCTAATACTGATGAACGAAGATATGATATTAGATTCCATAAAGATCAGAAGAAACGTCCGCTAATTAGATACGATCATGCGTGGGCTTATCTCCTTAATGATGAAAATTTATGTAATTTAGAAAGACTAGTTCAATTTGCTTTTTCTATATCTGTATCAAATGCCTTCTGTGAATCTATTTTTAATCAAATGAAACTTTTATGGAATACTAGTGAAAACAAAATGAAAAATCAACCGATAGCGCTGAATTAAAAGCTTGTCAACGTAGTCTCTTTTGGGCTACGATGTGTAACTCACATAGCTTCTTTAGCTTCATTATACCGATAGAAAACATAGAAATTTTAAAATCAACGATCGTTCTGTTTTCTTTTTCTAAACGGCGTTTTATTTTTGTAATTATTCTTTGTTTATTCAGCACTTTAATTATTATAAGCGTTGAATTAAATGTCTAATCATGCTGCGATATGCATCCATTGTTACATTCTCGTTTTCCAGGTCTGTAATTGGCAGGGGAGAGTAGGACCTTGTGTGGCAGTTACTATGGTCTGCGGCGTAGGGAAGTGGGCGATATTACTAATGTCTATAAATAGGAGGGAGTTGCAGATTTGACTTAAAACTTACACTTACTTTGTTCTTCGAAAATATATGCAAGGTTCACAAAAAATAAGATATACACTTATTTCGCTTCTACTGAGTTTTAAGAATACATATTACATAAATCAGATTTCTTGAAACAAATCTCGTCATCAGAGAATTCTATATTGTTGTCAAGCGCTCTGTACGGTAGATTAAATAACCTATTATTACTGAGCTCTTTTTGCTGCATATCAATTAATAAGTTAACTTTTTTTTTTATGTCATTTGGATATTTTTTGAACAAATATGACAGGATAATTAATATGGGATAGTTGTGATCCTATTTCTTGATTGTTCTATATCGCTTGTCAGTAAATACTACTATGAATGATTTATTAGAAAGTAACAGACGCTTATATAAGAAGCAACGCTAGCTTTCCACTAAAAAATGTCACTAGATATAATCTAGTTTTCGAAAAAAATCTCCTGGTTTTAAAAATATCGATTTGGTAATCCTGGTGTAACATGGATTAAACATCCACATCCTTCATATAGGTGAAGTTAGGCTAACTATCCATTATATTATGATTGAGAAAATATTTGCTTCCAAAGCCAATTAAGCTCTCCTTCAAAATTCATGACATATTCATGAAGAAAAGTGAAGTGACTGAAGTTTTTCATTGACTCTGTAAAAAGATACATCAATGTCGCCTGTAGTTAGTACAAAACATTCAAGTTATTGCTCTCTTTCTGTTTTAGAACTGTTTGAAAAATGTCCACGGCTATTTAATTCTGAAATGGACATTAGGCAGCTGGTAAACTTAAATTTGATAGGCAAATTCAATATTTTTATCATTCGATATTTAGTATTTGATAATTTTACTTTCGACATTGATTAGGAAAATCTATTTAGCCAGCCATATACTGATCTATCTGTGTACTAAAACAAGACGGATGTCTTAAATAAAACATTCCATATAAGTAAAAGTACAAAACACAATGTAGATGTTGAATGAGAAAAGGATGCAAATTGTGAATTTAACAGACAAAATCAGATGTCTTGCAAATAGAAAGATCAAGCAGGGAAAATGTCACAATATTTACAAGATTAGAATAAGTTTTGTTAATCTTTTAAAATAACATGTAAAATAGTATGAAAGTTCATGTTTGTTATGGGATTTTTATGGTCGCTGAGAAAGAGTTCAAACTCAATGCAAGAAAGAAAAACGTAAAGCAATTATTTGAATTCAGGCATCAAAATGTTGCCATTGACATATATTCTTTTGATTTCTAGTTGCTCAGTAGATTATCGCGAACATGGACACTAAATAATCTACATCACTTCCTGTAGATAAAAAAAAATAATACTATGATGATGAGTCTAAATGAAAAAATAGCACGAAAAAAAAATGTAATGTAATGACATAGGATGAATTGCACATCTAACACATGTTTTTATTATTATTGGAAACTTGATAGACGGAGATAAAACATTGAACAAGATATTTTTTCACTTTAACTATATTCTTTATTAATTGTTGGATAGGCGAATATAATGTCTTTATACCAAATCTACTTTTTATTTTTACTGTAGATGAAATCTGTCTTTTTTCGCGTTTTATATGAGACACTCGTATGCATACTTATCACAGTAGGCAATATGTTGTTAAATTACGCACACAAATATTGACTTGAAATACATATTCAAAAATATACTGTGAAACTATCAAAAGCGTAAGGATTTTACGGGTTTGTATTGATTCAATAGAGTAAATCATAAAAAGTATGCGCGTTAAAATCTCTAAATGCAATAATACTTTGGTGTATGTATACTTAAAAGACCATTGAAAACGAAAGGTTTATTCTATAAAACACTTCAAATCCTCTCTATTTCATCGTTAACGTGCCAGATTTGTTGAGTTAAGTAAGCATACAAATTTTACACAAAATAAACACACTATGAAAAGTCCAATGTATGAGTATTCAAACGTATGATATTTACAGTTTGCGAGAACAGACACACACATGTGACAAGAAGTGAACAATAAAACATCAACAAAAATATCAATAGATGTTTATACGACTAGTCTTTTCCACAAGCATTTAAATGTTCGAACCAAGGTTTTTTCATATATGTTTGTAAAAAGCTCTGTAAATCTACAGCTCATCGACACCTTTATTTCATTCTATGGTTTTTCTTGTTCGAATGTTGCAGTCACTTGTCTAGTATCTTTGACTTTTATCATGAAATCAATAAATTTAGTGCATTCGAGAGTAAATATTTTGCTCTATTTAACGAGCTATAAATCACGAAGTTCATAAATCTGACATAAATTGACTTTTTCTCAAGGAGCTCTTAATATCTTCAACCAAAGATTTTTCTACTACACCTTTATAATAAAACGATAAAAGTGCATGAAAATATCTACTTGCACATATATGCCAAAGCCCACAAAAAAAAGATTTTCAGAAGCCGATGATAATTAGTCTATGTTTTGAGGATGATTTGAAAAAAATTCACTAAAAATCACGTCGTTGAACTTCAACAATCTATACTTAGATGGCATGACTATTGAAAATACTTTTTTATAGCTATTTTCACTTCAATAATCAATTAAATTAACGATAATATTCTAGGATGATATCGACAGCACGTCATGCTACAGTATAAATTGAAAACATGAATGAAACGAATAATCACTGATGTTGATCATTATAATGAATTCTACATTTTAATTTTCATGACCTTCATTCGAGCGATCTCTTTTTTTTGACGATGAGATAGACAAATCACTTGATTAACTATTTTCAGGTTGCCTTTGAATGTTCTGATTGCAACAGTTAATTTTTCAATTTATGAATAAAAATTGTTGAAGGTTTTTTCATGATTATATTTTGTTGTATATCTTGATTTATACGATCATGACATTATGTTTTATTTATTGAAGAATATAGGCTTAACAATTACTTTTTTTTTTTTTTTCTCTTTTTACTATGTTCTGTATTTATAAAAGAAAGTGTTTTTGTCTTAACTTGTTATTTTATTAGAACGATCATGGAACGAGGCAGGTTTGTAGATGTTTTTTTTTTTATAAAATTGGCATTGAATATTTAATATCATAATTCGATATTTTCCTTTCATAATTCTATTTTGCTTACATTACCATAAAAAAAAAATGTTCGCAATCGAGACAGTTTCTAATATATAATTAGTAAAAAGAAAATCTTATGACAAAACAAAAAAAAAGAAAACGTAATTATGATTATCCAAAACGCAGATGTTTGTATATCTCTGTTTGATGCCTATAAATATGCATATAAACTAAGAAAGGAAAAAACAAATTGTCATTACATATTTTCTGACAAAAATAAGAAAAACTATCAGCTGTTAATTTTTGATATGTCTAACGAATCGTCTCATGATAATCAACATCCGATAACGTAAGTGTTCTATTTTTATCAGTACAAATTTTTTACAACATAATTTTATTATTCTTAAGATTTAAAATAATTATGTTCTTTTTTTTTTTTTCTATTTGAATACTAATATAGAAAACTAATATATGTATTAGCTGCTCTTCTGGCAATATTTCTTATATTAACAATTGTATTCGCTGCTTTATATGGAATTGAAAGGAATAAAACATCAACATCAGAATCGACATCAACATCGGCATTCATATCGACAACAACAACAACAACAACATCGACTACTAATACTACAGGTTTGAAATATTTCATTTACAATTTACAATTATTTTTGTTTTGTTTCTAGTCGATAGTGATTTATGTCTAACTCCTTATTGTGTTAAAGCGGGTTAGTTCTATTTCAAAAAAAAAAAGACTGAATTGAATTTTTTTGTTCTTTTTGAAATTTAATAGCAAATTATTTACTTGAAAGTATTGATAAAACTGCTGATCCATGTGATAATTTCTTTGAATTTACTTGTGGAACATGGTTAAAAAATAATCGAATACCTGATGATGGTAAATTGATTAATTTTCTTTTTTTTTTTTAATACGTCAAAATGAATTCTATTTGTTTTAGCTGGATCTCAAGATACAATTAATCTTCTACGAAATCAATTAGATAGTGATATTGTTGGTTAGTATAAACGATAGACTTATTTTAAATATCTGATTAGTTTTATAATAGAATCAGGGACGTGATAGTCGTCTGTTTTTGAAAATTGTCTACGTAGTAAACTAGAGTCCTGCTACTGGACCCGATCCGTGGATAGTTTTCGATTTGGTCGAAGTTTTAAAAAAATGTCGAATATTTTTAGTATGATATAATTGTTGATTCTTTTCCCGTCTATGATAGACATGTTTAGAAATAAAAATAGAAAAATAGTTTTCATTCTAACAAGTCTCTATTAAAAGAATATTGGCATTAATAATTGTTACATTACGTTGCTCTTAGCAAAACATCTCTGTCAATAAGAGACAAAAGTTAACAATCATACCATCACTTGTAAATCGTTTGTTAGTAATTAACATTTCTAGAGATTTGTTATAATAACATGCAATACTGTTGTCATAGTTTTCTAGCGACAAACTATATATTGATATGTATTTCATATCTTGATAAAAATTTCCAACATATAATGAAGATACATATTTAATTGAACATAAATAAATGAATCTAGTTTTTTAGATTCGGAAAGTTGAATTAGTACAGAATTCTTGAATGAACATTGTTTATGAAATTTTCGTTTTATCTTTTCGCTTCCCTTTCGAAAGATCACTATCGTAGCTATCTTTCGTTCAAATATTATTAGAAATCATTCTCAAATAACTAAGATATTATCTTCTCATTAAAAGTGTATGTGAATAGAAAATGTTACATTTTTACTAAGGTGGATCTTTTCGTAAATGACTATAACCAATTCATTTGAAAATTTTAGTAGAATATTCCGATGAGATGATAAATCTATCCTGAAAATTTTTGCCGAACAAAAATTTATTGATTTGCATATTTTCACTGAATATGTTTTCCATAGGGGACAAAATATGTGTGAATCATAACTCTGTTACATAAGAACTGATGAAGGGTAGGTTGATGTTTGCAGTTATGGTTTATTGTCGTATAAATGTGCCCAAAATATCAGCTCAATACCATAAAGGATAGTATTACTTTAGATGGAGGCAGTTAATTTTCCATTATCACATTTGGATGAAAAGTCTCTAGAAAATTAAGACCCTACAAAACCACTTTTCTGAATTCAATCAACAAGTTCATCGGATAGAGACGACATGTCGAAATGACATAAGATATCCTCGAGCTCCTCATGAGCGGACGACAATCATCATGAGATAGGCCTAAAAGATTGTTTTCTGTTGTTTTTATCAAAAATTTAAATGAATTTACGGTGTTTGACATTTTGAGACCTTGTAATGAATCAGTGTAATTCGCTGAAAATCGGACGTAAAGACCTCGGAGACATATCATTTTGGTCAGAATTCACAAAGCTGTTCTTGAAAAGTTTTAATGTTTTAGCTACGCTCCACTCAAACTTGTTAATCAAAATTTGACAAAAACCTCTTCTAATAGAAAATCGTTTCAGCTATTGGAATCTTTTTTTTTCTGATTTTAACTATTATTGTTAAGGAAAAAATATCAAATATACTTCGTTTCTAAACTTTTTTTGCGTCTACTTTACGTGCTATGATTCATTGTATTTATTTAGATATGTTAACCTCGCCACTTCCAAATAATACAGCTCATATTCAATCTTTAATTAATGCTCGTCGTTTGTATGATTCATGTGTTAATGAAACAGCTATTGAATTAGAATCTATTAATACAATACTTTCTTTTGTCAATAATGAACTTGGTGGTTGGCCAATTTTACAAGGTTCATCATGGAATTCTTTATCATTTAATCTTTCACGTTTACTACTTAAATTACGTGAATATAGTCATAATATATTATATGGTTGTGGTACATCACCTGATGATAAAAATTCTTCTATTTACTATATTCGAGTAAAACAAAAAATTTAATCAATTAATTTATTTTTTTAATATTTTATATAGGTTTATCAAAGTGATATTGGTCTTGAACAACGAACAAATTATGAAAATTTAAGAATTACTACTGCTTATCAAAATTTTATTCGTGATTTAGCTCGAGCTTTAACAAATGATACATCAACAATTGATGCAGATGTTACAGAAATTTATAATTTTGAAAAGAATATTTCAAAAGTAAATTATTGTTTTGTTTTTCGTGATAAATTAAATAAATAAAAATATTTAGTTTCATTGGACACCTGCTGAAATACGTGCTAGACAAAATGAAACAGTTCGTACAACTATTGGTAATCTTTCACAAACATTTAGTACAAGCGTAAGTATTTATTTCTTTTTTTTTAATAGAATATTTTTTTTCTCGTTTAGTTTGATTTTACAAATTATCTTCGACGAGTTTATTCTTTAGCAAATATTAATTTAAGAGATGATGATATTGTATCAATTAGTGAACTAGATTTTTTACGTAATGTAACAACAATTATTGAGAATTCTTCATCACGTTTACAACAAAATTATATTGTATGGCGTTTTATAATGAATAGAGTAGGAAATATGCCTAAACGTTATCGTTCTATAAGAGATCCATTTGATGAAGCTTATCGAGGTACTACTGCTCAACGTCCACGTTCAATTATATGTGGAAATTTTATTAATAGTAATATGGGTTTTGCTCTTTCGAAAATTTATATTCAACAATATTTTGATGAAAATGCTAGAAATCAGGTATATCATATTATTTTATATAAGAAAATTTTTAGAATAGAAACAATTATAGAATTTTTTCGATTATTAAATAAATGATCTGTATGTGCAAAGTTTCAAATCAAAATACAAATTTTTTCAAAGTCTCTAGAAAAAAATTCGATAGTTTAGTCAAATCGAAACTCTTTTAAGGTTTTTATTAAAACATTATATAGGATATATAGGTAAAAAAAACCGAATCCGAGTCACTCTCGTTAACGTACTGTTGAATGTGAATATTCAATTAGTTAATACAAGTAAGTATAATACATGAATCTAACTAACAATCACTGCTAGAAGCTCATATTGAATCTAAAAGAGTTTGTTCTTGTGACTCAAACAATGAGTTTTTATTGAAGTACAATATTTAAATGATAGAGAATAAAATCAATTGATTTTATTATTTATTTTGATTAGTCATTAGAAATGATAAATAATATTCGAAATACATTTCTTGAAATGTTAAAAACTTCAACTTGGATGGATGAAATTTCAAAAAATCGATCAATAGAAAAAGTAAAATTAAAAAAGAAAATTTTATTTTATTTCAAATGTTTAATTATATTTTAAAGGCATTAGCAATTGATGAAAAAATTGGTTATCCAGATTATTTAGGTAGTACTAACACATCAACACTCGATAAAATGTATCAAGATGTAAGAAATAATTTGATTTTTATTTTAATAATTATTTATTATCAATATATTTTTTAGTATGTGTTCGATGCATCATATATAAATAATGTTTTAAAATTATTACAAATAAAATCTAATGAAAGTCTTCGAATACTTCGTGATCCTGTTGATCGTAAAGATTGGGGCTCAAGTCCACCGACTACAGTCAATGCTTTTTATAGTCCACCAAGAAATCAAATTAGTAAATAAAATAGTTTATTATTTAAATTTAAATATTTATAATTAAAGTTCAAACAGATTGAATTTTCGTAAATTTGATTTACTCATAGTAAACTATAAATCTATTCAATTTGACATTGAAAACAGAAGACTTTAATGATTAGAATATAAGAAAATCATATGAGATAATCAAACAAAACATTTGTTTATTTGAATACACTATATATGTGTAGAAAAAAAACGACAATAGATGATTAACAAATAGTGAACAGTAATTTAATACATCGGATAAAAGAACGAAATAAATAAATAATCAATGAATAAACTAGACATAAGATATTGTATTAATCGAGTCTAAGACAGTTGCTCGCTAGTAAAGATGTACATAATAGGCTACTGAATAAAAAATTTCTCTCAGTCAGAGTCTATCGAGTTAGTCATGAAACCGAGTGGCTATAATGAGGGTACAGGACATGGAAGAAGCTTACCTTGGACATCGTTACTCGTTCATCCATATACTTGATGCCGAACGAGAGTTTTTGTGTTATAATATTAGAATCATCAATTTTCTCACAAGAAATTAATTTATTTCGTTATTTTATTCAAAATTATACATAATGATCAGATATCCGAATTCTCAGTTTCTTGAAAGTTTAAAAAAAACAAGTATCATACTCATCCAATGATCTGTTTGAATTTCTAATTTCTAAATTCTATACTTCTCTATTTTTAGGTTTTCCAGCTGGTATTCTTCAAATGCCATTTTTCAATAAAGATGCACCAAAGTAAATTTCTTCATATATGTTTCGATTAAAAAAAGAAATAACTATTTTTTTTTAATTATTATTATTATTATTAAGATATTTAAATTATGGTGGTAAGTTCGAATGAAATAAAATCAATGTTATAGAAATATAAATAAAAAAAAAAATTTGAGGTATTGGAGCCGTTATTGGTCATGAAATTACTCATGGTTTTGATGATAGTGGTCGTCAATATGATAAAGATGGAAATCGTGTATCTTGGTGGACTCCTGAAACTATCGAACGATTTAATGAACGTAAGAAATGTATTGTAGATCAATATAGTAATTATGTTGTAACACAAATCAATCGAACAGTAATAATTTAATAATAAATTCATTCATATAATTTTTAATATTTCTTAAATTTTAGGTCAATGGAAATCAAACTCAAGGTGAAAATATAGCTGATAATGGTGGAATAAAAGAATCATTTTATGTAAGTTTGATTTTGAATAATATTTAGAATAAAACAAAAAAAGAATGAACGAATAAATTAAAATTGATCTAATCATCAGACAAAAAGAAATTATTTCCATATAGGCATATAAAAAATTATTATTAACAAATAATGATAAAAGTTTACCTGGTTTACAAGATTATTCGAATGAACAACTTTTTTTCATATGGAATGCTCGAATTCGTTGTTATTCAGAATATAATGATTATCTAGGCTATATAAAAAGATTGATTGAAAAACATTCACATGGTCATGCAATTGATGAATTTCGGTAGATACAAAAAAACAAAAACTTTTTGAAATAGCTTTTTTTGTCTGTGTTCCCCTTTGTTTGTGATTTAATGCATCCTTATTTTCCTTATTGCATGTGCATGTATATTTATAGACTTATCAAAAATGGGCGACAACGCCTGGAAATATTGATAAAAAATTACCTGGTCTAGCTGATTATTCAGCTGAACAATTGTTTTTTATTAATTATGGACAAATTTGGTGTTCGAAAATGACTGATGCTAATGCATTGAATAGAATTTTAACTGGTGTTCATTCACCGGGAGAATTCAGGTATATTGTTTTTATTTTTCAATTAAAAGTAAGATAAGAATCGATGATGCATTTATCTTAAATTATTACTTTTCAATTAATTCAATAAATATTAAAAAAAAAAAGAAAAATATTATTTGTAACTCTCAAAAAAGAATTTAATTTTTTGAATATGATGTAAAGTGAAAGTCAAAAGTTTAGTAACAAAATATTTGTGAAATTTTTTTTTTTAAATAGTAATAGTTAGAACTAATCAGAGAAAAGATTATAACTAGTTGAAACAATTTCCTATCAAAAGTAATATTTGTCTAATTCTCATTAATAGATATAGATGAACTTTTTAACTAGAACTATTAATAGGAATACATAGTTATGTTTATCTATTTCTATTATTCGACAAAATATTCAATTTTTGGTTTTATAGACACAGTAACTAAAACTCTATTAGATAATATTGACTAGTTTTTCTTTCTTTTTTTTTTGTGATATGCATGTTTGATTTTTAAATTATGATTTGTTT